CGAAAGGAAATAAGAAGGAACGAGGGCCACGAACGTCAACGAGCAAGTCTAGACAAGGGCCACGAGAGAAGAACATCCAACAAGACAAGGAAGGGTCAATCAACGTGCAAAGGAGATAACAGAAACACACACACACACACACACACACTCTCTCTCTCTCTCGCTCTGTCTCACTCACTCACACACACACATGCACGCAGAAGCACACACACAAACTCACTCACTCGCACGTCGGCACAAGGGCACATACACAAACAGTGGAGTAATGCAAGTTCACGCGGACACAAATAACGACGCATGTTCTTTTGTCGCATAGTCTCATGTCACACCTAAAAAACTCGAGAGCAGCGAACGCAGCTGTTGCTGCTTCATACAGCAGAGAGGATTCAACAGCACAACAATAACAGCAATGGCATCGTGGACACGAAAACGGTCGAGTAACAGCGCATGGACGCGCGAATGTGTATGCCTGTCGATCGGTCAGGATGCAGATTGTCTATTGGTGCTGCGGGGCACGCTGGTGCTGTAACTGGTGTTGCAGCTGCTGCAGCTGTTGAAAGGAGAGCTGTTGATGGGCTGGTTGCTGTTGCTGGGCGGGGAAAGATGGCTGCATGTGCATGCCTGCAAGCATCATCTGCACGCGTGGCGACCTTTGCAAGAGGGTGGGCCACGCACGCGCACGCAACTCCTTCACCTCATCAAACAGGTCCGTGTACTCCGTGGCCAGCTTCATCTTCGTCTTGTTGAGCTGGTTGGCAGCGTGTTCAATCTCCTGCCATCGCATGCCCTTCAAGTCCGACAGCGGCGCTGTCGGCTGCGGCCACACGCTGTACGGCTGCTGGTGCGATTGGGGATCGAGCACCCACACGCCCACAGGAACCGCGCCGTGCATGTGCATGGGGAATTGTGAGAACGCCGAGGCGTGTGGGGGCACGTGCAACTGTGCCTGCTGAATCTGCTGTGGGTGCTGTGGGTGCTGTGGGTGCTGTGGGTGCTGTGGTTGGGGTAACCCTGGGAATAACACGTGCGGGAGCATCATGCCAGCGGTTGTGGGAGGGACGCTCGAGAAAGGCTGCTGCTGGTGTTGTTGTAACGGTTGCTGTGACGCGGGCTGCTGTGATGGTTGTTGGTGCTGCTGCTGCTGTTGTTGGTGGTGTATGGCGAGCAGCGCGGGATTGATGCCCATCATGGCGGGGTGCATCGTGCCTGGTGCCGTCAGTGATGCCGGCACGTGTGGCTGCTGTTCTTGCTGTTCTTGCTGTTCTTGCTGGTGCTGGTGCTGTGGGTGTTGCTGGTGCTGTGGGTGTTGCTGGTGCTGTGGGTGTTGTTGGAGCATCTGCAACGCTTGTGCAGTGCTCACGCCTTGCATGCCTTGCATGCCTTGCATGGCATGCAGCAGCTGCGCCATCTGTTGTTGTTGGAGTGGAGACATATGTTGGAGCGAAGAGTGCATCGCAAGCTGCTGCTGCTGCTGCTGCTGCTGCTGTTGGTGGGAGGATGACGGGGTGTGGTGTTGCGCTCCCTGCGCAAATAGCAAGCTGGACGGAAAAGCTTTGAAGGCACTGGTTGCTTCGTGTCCGTGTGCTGTTGCGGTGCGCTGGGTGGACGGGTCCAGCCTCGTTGCTTCGGGCGCTGTTGGAGGTGGAGGTGGCGATGGTGCTGATGCTGTTGCACGTGCCTGTGGTGGCGCTGCTGTTGCTACCGTTGTGGTTGCGGCACCCACAATGCCTGCACTGTCACCAACGGGCACGGTGAACGAGCTCTTGCGACTGCGGTCGATCCCAGAGTCTGTGGTGCGCGAACGCCTGTCGTCGGGGGCGCGCGCTGCCGACTTCTGTGTCACCTGCTGTGCCGCTTGCTGCAGCAATGCCAGGCCTTCCTGCTCTGATCCCTCTTCGTCGTGGCCCTGTCCTCGTCCGTGCTGCGGCGGCTGCTGCAGCCGTTGTTGGCGCTGTTGTTGTGGTGGTTGTTGTGGCATTGGAGTAACGCCGTGCTTTGGACCGTGCTTGCGGTGCTGTGATGACGATGGCACGTCAGTGGCAGTGTGCATGCGCGTGCGCGCGTGCTCCTGTAGCGGCGCACCTGATCGACCACCGCGCAGTGCCGACTGCTGCTGCTGTTGTTGTTCCTCATGTTGTTGCCGGACATGGTGTGGTGCGCGCCCCATCTTTGGCGCCTTTTTCGGCGTTTCGTTATCGCAATCACCGCCACCGCTGTTGCTGTTGCTGTTGTCGCTGCTGTTGCTGTGCCGGCTGTGTGCAGCACGCTTGCGACTGTGTTTCTTCTTTCTGCGCTTGCGCTCCTTCCTGTCCTTGCGAGAGGACGTGGTGGATGTGTATGCGTGGCCGTGACCGTGGCCGTTGTTGTGGTTGCCAGTGCGGTGATCGCCACTGTTGTCGCTGCTGCCACTGCCTTCACCGCTGTTGTTGTTGGACTGCTTGTGTCTCTTGTGCTTTTTGCGCGGGTGATGGTGATGGTGGTGGTGGCGTGGCGGTGCGTTGTGCTCGCGCGCGTGTTCGTGCTTGTCCTCGTGCCCGCTGCCGTGTTCGGACGTGAGGGGCGAACTGGATGAGCGGGAGTTGTCGCCTCCTTGCCGGTGGGCCTCTTCCACACGGGCGTGGGCCCGTGCATTTGTTGCGCGTATTGCGCCTGCCGCCGTTGGACGTGTGGAGCCAGTGTCTCCTGCATGCATGCAAGGCAGTGATGCGTGCGCAAAAATTGAGGTAGGGGTGTGTGTGTGTGTGTGTGTGTGTGTGTGTGTGTGTGTGTGTGTGTGTGTGTGTGTGTGTGTGTGTGTGTGTGTGTGTGT